TTGCGGAGCACAGACTCTGGATGCGCAGGGCCAACGGCCATGGCTCACGGGCCCAGCCACTCCGCGGCGTGTGGGATCTTCCCGGACCGGGGCACGAACCCGTGTCCCCTGCATCGGCAGGCAGACTCGCAACCGCTGCGCCACTAGGGAAGCCCTCAATAATTTCTTAACAGGGAGCTTTAGTGTTAGAGCTAGAGGGGCCTCTGATATTTTTCCCCCTCCTCCTGGCCTCTCAGACTGCATAAATGTGAAAAATAAGAAACTCGGGCTTCCCTAGTGGTGCAGTGGTTAAGAGTCTGCCTGCCGATGCAGGGGACGGGTTCATGCCCCGATCCGGGAAGATCCCACACGCCGCGGAGCGGCTGGGCCCGTGAGCCATGGCTGCTGGGCCTGCGCGTCCGGAGCCTGTGCTCCGCAACGGAAGAGGCCACACAGTGAGAGGCCCGTGTACCGCAAAAAAAATAATAATAATAAATATAAATAAATAAATTAAAAAATAACAAACTCATTAATAAAAATGGATCAATATATAGATGTTTGCTTATGCTTGAATGAGATCTTTTTTATTCACTTGCAGTCTTATTTTCAGATGTTCTAAAGTAACAACTGTTGTGTATGTGTGTGTTTATTGTGTGGTATTTATTGTTATTTAACTCTTAAACACTCTTTAAAGTATTAACTTGTGTGGCCTTTGTCCTAACATTCAAAGCACGTTGTATACCTGATTGTTAGCCTCCTAATAATAAATAGGTTTTACAAAAGAAAACAAGTTAGAAAACAAACAGTTACATTATATGACCATTTATGAAGTCTTGTTAGGGGTAGAATTAGACCCATGATCTTTTGACCTCTAATTCCATTTGTTTTCCATTGTGTGATCCTGGGAAAAATTTTATAAGTACTCAGTCTTCTTTTTAATAATGAGTTGATGTGATAGATTAAATCTCCTGTCCCTCTTGTACTTATTCTCATTTAAATGAGAGGAACTGAACAAAGAAAAACTTCAATAAGACTAAATTTCATTTTAGGAGAATGGTTACCAGTCTTTGTTGAGCAGCGACGATCAATTATTTATTTATGAGACAGCTGGAGTGCTGATTGTTAATAGTGAGTACCCAGCAGAACGGAAGCAGGCATTAATGAGGAATCTGTTGACTCCACTCATGGAGAAGTTTAAAATTCTGTTAGAAAAATTGATGCTGGCGCAGGACGAAGAAAGGCAGGCATCTCTTGCAGACTGTCTCAACCACGCTGTTGGATTTGCCAGGTGAGTGATTGCATTTAAATTTGTGAAGTGATTTTTTCAACATACACAGAATCATTTGCTTGGATTTTTCTAATCGGGCATGCATATCTATGTTTCCAAAACTAGATTGTCCAGAGAATTGTCTAAATTGTTTATTTTCTAAATTCATTGAATTAGATTTAACTGAAGAAGGAATTAGGTCATGTAACATTCTGCATTTCTGACTTGACAGTTATCTAAATCCTTAACTCCTCTGATTTCTTTGTCATAAATTGATTACATATTTAAGGAGATTAGTCTAAGTGTTTATATACCAATGACATCAGGGGATCAGTTTTGGAACCTTAAAGAGAAGGTGCTGAGGCTTCTTTTTAGTTGTTACATTGTGTCCTGAAGACCACCCAAGCTGCCCTTTCTTTCTCTCTGTTTATTGGCAAATAATAACAGCATGAAAGTTATAGTGATTGCTAATTAGAAGCTACATAGAGAAATTGCTCTGCAGAAGACTTCAGTGCAAAAGCTTATGTTAAAGATGTTGTATAAATAACTTGATTCTAAGATTGTTTTAAATATAAATTGGTAGTTTACAGATTGTGTAGTATAGGCTATTCATAATAAATAGATTTTTTTTCTCTTTTCTGCATAAGTTGTCAGCAGGATTTTAGTAAAACATTTAGGTGGACTCACATTTGAGAGATTGTATTAATTACATTTCATTCATTCACTTAATTTTAACTTGAGCTCTTTCTGGAATGGTAACTGGAAGCAATAGTTTACAAATAACCATATCAGCTAAAGATAGACGTAGCTGTGACATGGAAAATAAAGAAATGGCTTCTTTGTTTTGTCAGTTTTGAAATTTGTTGTGTGTTGTTTTTGACTACTCCATAAAATATTTGAAGAATAAACTTAAAACTAGTTACCTGATAATTGTTTATATAGTCGAACCAGCAAAGCTTTCAGCAACAAGCAGACTGTGAAACAGTGTGGCTGTTCCGAAGTTTATCTGGACTGTTTACAGACGTTCTTGCCAGCCCTCAGTTGTCCCTTACAAAAGGATATTCTCAGAAGTGGGGTTCGCACGTTCCTTCATCGCATGATTATATGCCTGGAGGAAGAAGTCCTCCCGTTCATTCCATCTGCTTCAGAACACATGCTCAAAGATTGTGAAGCAAAAGACCTCCAGGAATTCATTCCTCTTATCAACCAGATTACAGCCAAATTTAAGGTACCACAAACCTTCAGAGCTCAGAGAATTTCCTGACTTTAAGATCTCCTGACTTCAAGATTAGATGTATTCATCTTTAGGTATATTTTAGCATTTGACCCTTGCTTTTTTTTTTTTTTTTTTTTGAGTTTCTTGGGGGCATGGATCATAGGTATTTTTATCATCCCCAATGTCTGCAACACTGCCTGACACATAGGAAATGCTTAAAAGATGTTTTAATAAGAACAGACCTTTTCTGTTCTATGCAGCAGAAGAAAACTATTAGTCTGGCATTTTAGAAAAGCAAATAAAACAGCATTGAATAATAAATGCCTAAAGAATAAATTTTAAGCCCTGTAATTTGGGTGCCCAAGTAGTTTAAAAATAATTCAGTGTCAGTTTTATGTACAAGGAAATGTAACCTAAGCATAAGTTGGCTAATAAAAATTACTAACACTTACATAGTGTTTTCTGTGTTCAAAATCTGTTCAGAGCATTTTCTTATACATTCATTTGATCTTTGTAACAACCCTAGAAGTTAAGTATTGTTGTTTTAAGGATGAAGAGACTGAGACACAGAAGTTAAGCAATTTGCTCAAGGGCATGTAAAGCCTGAGAGTCAATCATATAAATTCCTTTATAATTTAGCAGTAGAATTCATTTATTGAGAATTTAAATTTGAAAATATTCCATGGCAATATTTGATTGTGAAATATGTCTGACTCCATGTTATTTGAACCTGAATCTTGAACTGTAGGAAATGGGTTGAACTTAACGATCTTGAGGTTTCAATACTGTTATGCTCTATAGACTTTTGTCTTAACATTGATATTTGCTAACCGATTTATGTAAATGTGTCCTAACTAGAATCTCTAGAAAAAGGCTTTATGTAAAACATGTTTTTTCTAAGTTTCGTATTACTAATTTTCTTATTTCTGAAATAGTAATAGTTGTTTCATCTCTTCAGATACAGGTATCCCCATTTTTACAACAAATGTTTATGCCTCTTCTTCGTGCAATTTTTGAAGTTTTGCTCCGACCAGCAGAAGAAAATGACCAGTCTGCTGCTTTAGAGAAGCAGATGTTGCGCAGGAGTTACTTTGCTTTCCTGCAAACAGTCACAGGCAGTGGAATGAGCGAAGTCATAGCAAATCAAGGTGGGGATGCATGCAGTGCCTAAATCGTCTATGTACTTGTCACAGTTGTATATCTATATGAGCAAGAGCTAGTTGGACTAAACTTTTGAAGTAGTTATATGTTGGCCCCAAAGATGACATTTTATTACCGTCAGGGTGGGAATCATTTTCACATAGAGGACCTTAAAGTTAACTTGTATTCAGTTCCCATTTTCCTAAAGCAGTATTCCTTTTTTTTTTGTTTCAAGCTGATTTACAATGTTGTGTTAGTTTCAGGTATACAGTGAAGTGATTCAGTTATACACGTACATACATATCCTTTTTCAGATTCTTTTCCGTTATAGGTTATTACAGCATATTGAATACAGTTCCCTGTGTTATAAGTAAATCCTTGTTGTTTATCTGTTTTATATATAGTAGTGTGTATGTGTTAATCTCATACTCCTAATTTATCCCTCCCTACCTTCCCCTTTGTAACCATAAGTTTGTTTTCTATGTGAGTCTGTTTCTGTTTTATAAATAAGTTCATTTGTGTCATGTTTTAGATTCCACGTATAAATGATATCATACAATATTTGTCTTTCTCTGTCTGACTTCACTTAGTATGATAATTTCTAGGTCCATCCATGTTGCTGCAAATTGAAATATTTCATTCTTTTTTATGGCTGAGTAATATTCCATTGTATATATACCCCACGTCTTCTTTATCCATTCATTTGTTGATGGACGTTTAGGTTGCTTCCACGTTTCGGCTGTTGTAAATAGTGCTGCTGTGAATATTGGTGTGCATGTATCTTTTCTAATTAGAGTTTTCATGTTTTCCGGGTATATACCCAGGAGCTGGATCATATGGTAACTCCACTTTTAGTATTTTTAAGGAACCGCCAGTTTTTTAAGGAACTGTTCTCCATAGGGGTGCACCAATTTACATTGCCACCAATAGTGTAGGAGGGTTCCCTTTTCTCTACACCCTCTCCAGCATTTATTATTTGGATACTTTTTGATGAGGGCCATTCTGACCAGTGTGAGGTGATACCTCATCGTAGTTTTGATTTGCATTTCTCTAATAATTACCAGTGTTGAACATCTTTTAATGTATCTGTTTGTCTTTGGAGAAATGTCTATTTAGGTTTTCTGCCCGTTTTTTGACAGGGTTGGCTTTTTTTTGTTGTTATTGAGTAGTATGAGCTATTTGTATATTTTGGAAATTAAGCCCTTGTCGGTCTCATCACTTGCAAATATTTTCTTCCAGTCCATAGGTTGTCTTTTCGTTTCATTTGTGGTTTCCTTTGCGGTGCAAAAGCTTCTAAGTTTGACTAGGTCCCATTTGTTTATTTTTGCTTTTATTTCTTTTGCCTTGGGAGACTGATCTAAGATAAGAAAGATATTTTCTTCCAGTCCATAGGTTGTCTTTTCGTTTCATTTGTGGTTTCCTTTGCGGTGCAAAAGCTTCTAAGTTTGACTAGGTCCCATTTGTTTATTTTTGCTTTTATTTCTTTTGCCTTGGGAGACTGATCTAAGAAAATATTGCTATGATTTTTTTTTTTTTGGCTGCTTCGTTGCTGCGCACAGGCTTTCTCTAGTTGTGGTGAGCAGGGGCTACTCTTTGTTTTAGTATACGAGCTTCTCATTGCAGTGGCTTCTCTTGCGGAGCACAGGCTGTAGGCACACGGGCTTCAGTAGTTGCAGCATGTGTGCCCTAGAGTGCATGGGATCAGTAATTGCAGTGCACAGGCTCTAGGGCACACAGGCTTCAGTAGTTGTGGCCCGCAGGCTCAGTAGTTGTGGCTCACAGGCTCTAGAGCGCAGGCTCAGTAGTTGTGGTGTGCAGGCTTAGTTGCTCTGCGGTATGTGGGATCTTCCTAGATTAGGGATTGAACCCATGTCCCCTGCATTGGCAGGCGGTTTCTTAACCACTGTGCCACAAGGGAAGTCCCCCAGCTCTTGGTTTTATTGACTTTTTCTGTTTTTTTTTTTAATCTCTGCTTAGTTCCTCTCTGATCTTTATTTCCTTCCTTCTGTTGACTTCAGATTTTGTGTGTTCTTTTTCTAATTCTTTTAGCTGGTAGGTTAAGTTGTTTTTTGAGGAAGGCCTGAATCTCTATAAACTTCCCTCCTATGACTGCTTTTGCTGCATTCTATAGATTTTCGTATGGTTGTGTTTTCATTAGCATTTGTTTTGGTATTTTTTGATTTCCTCCTTTTTTTTTAGTAGCATGTTGTTTAGTTTGCATGTAGTCGGGGGTTTTTTTGTTTTTCTTCTGTGGTTGATTTCTAGTTTCATGCCGTTGTGGTCAGAAAAGATGCTTGAAATAATTTCTATCCTCTTAAATTTGTTGAGGCTTGTTTTGTGTTCTAGTATGTGGCCTATCCTAGAGAATGATCCATGCGTGCCTAAAGCTGTATTAATTGGTTCCTTCATAGTATAAATAGTGTGGTAGCTACTTGCCAGAATTGACCTGACAGTTAAATCTTACTGGCCACTTTGCTGTTTTGAAATTTAAAATAAATGAGACTATATAGATCAACATAGAATATTTTGCTATATGGAAATCCAGAGGGCAAGATAATAAGGGAATAGTAACTTTTCAATGTTTTATGCTTAAAATTTAGGAGCCAAGTTAATAAAAACTGAGGATCTTAACGACTCTGTAATTGTTTTTGTTATGTTACTATATATGAAGTGAGAGCTTCAGGTTGCCTTTCTCGTTCTTTATGAGATTGAATATTCAGTTTTATTTTTTCTTTTCAGGTGCAGAGAATGTAGAACGAGTGTTGGTAACTGTTATTCAAGGAGCAGTCGAATATCCAGATCCAATTGCCCAGAAAACGTGTTTTATCATCCTTTCCAAGTTGGTAGAACTCTGGGGTAAGATGATTTAGGAAAAAAAAAAAACTTCATTCCCCAACCTGTTTCCTAAGACAAGAGAGATGAAATGGGATCCTGGCCCTAACATAGATAGGAGCTGGGAGTTGATTTTCACCAGTGATAAATTAAATGACTTTCTTTTTATACAAGATGAAAATCTGAATTCTCTTGACAGGAGGTAAAGATGGACCAGTGGGATTTGCTGATTTTGTTTATAAGCACATTGTCCCCGCATGTTTCTTAGCACCTTTAAAACAAACCTTTGACCTGGCAGATGCACAAACAGTATTGGTAAGCACCTAGGAGTCTCTGTTTACTTTGTGTAAATCTCATGTGTTCTAACTCACAATTTCTTTTTTAATGCCAGGTTGATTATATTAGATTTCAATGCCTTTTTAAAACAAAAAAAAATTTCAAATTAGAATTCATTTTTTAAAAATTGATACCTTTTGGACCTTTTGATTCATAACTAAATCTTGATGTTAAAGTTGAATGTATAAAATCCAACTCCTCCAACTTTAACAGCCAAGACTCTTTTTCTAGGACCATGAAAGGGTACATGATACAAACATTTTTTAAAGCTTGATTGAGTTATTAGTTTCCTGCCTCTACTTTCATTCTAAAACTTGGCTTAATGGTTTTTTGCCTAATTATTAAGAGTAACTTTCTCTTCCTCATTTGATAGTTTCCCCAAATCTCATCTTCAGAATGCTTAATGTCAAGCAGTTGCCCTTTACTCACTTACCCAGGACCTAGTAAAAGCTAGATTTCTTAATTATCATGTACTGCGTTAAGACAGCATTTTTGTATTTTTCTATTTTTAAAATTTTCTATCTAACCCATTTGTTCCATCTGCCTGCCTGTTACCTTTCCTTTCTCCATCACTTTTTTTTTTTTTGTAGATTTATTTATTTTATTTTTTAAATTTATTTTTGGCTGCATTGGGTCTTTGTTGCTGCACACAGGCTTTCTCTAGTTGAGGCTAGCGGGGGCTACTCTTTGTTGCAGTGCGTGGGCTTCTTATTGTGGTGGCTTCTCTTGTTGCAGAGCACGGGCTCTAGGTGTGCAAGCTTCAGTAGTTGTGGCACACTGGCTCTGTAGTTGCAGCTTGCGGGCTCTAGAGCGCAGGCTCAGTAGTTGTGGCACACGGGCTTAGTTGCTCCGTGGCATGTGGGATCTTCCTGGACCAGGGATTGAATCCATGTCCCCTGTATTGGCAGGTGGATACTTAACCACTGAGCCACCCGGGAAATCATTCCATCCCTTCTTTGGATGTAAATGTTAATGAGCAGTGGCCAGGGAAATAAAAAGAAAAGTTGGAACAGTAACCAAGAGTTGACTATATTAAAATTCTTAAACTTGTTTCTCACAGGCTTTATCTGAGTGTGCAGTGACGCTGAAAACAATTCATCTCAAACGGGTAAGCTTTGTACTCCCTGCCCCTTCGTTTTCAGCTCACATGCTTATTGTTATAGTTTTTTTCCTTTTTTTTTTTTTAATTAATTAATTTATTTATTTATTTGCGGTACGCGGGCCTCTCGCTGCTGTGGCCTCTCCCACTGCGGAGCACAGCCTCTGGACGCAGCAGGCTCAGCGGCCATGGCTCACAGGCCCAGCCGCTCCGCGGCATGTGGGATCTTCCCGGACCGGGGCACGAACCCGTGTCCCCTGCATCGGCAGGCGGACTCTCAACCACTGCGCCACCAGGGAAGCCCTATAGTTTTTTTTTCTTAATTAATTAATTAATTTATTTTGATGGGCTTCTCATTGCGGTGGCTTCTCTTGTTGTGGAGCACAGGCTCTAGGCGCATGGGCTTCAGTAGTTGTGGCGCACGGGCTTTGTTGTTCTGCAGCATGTGGGATCTTCCTGGACCCGGTCTCAAACCCGTGTCCCCTGCATTGGCAGGAGGATTCTTAACCACTGCACCACCAGCCCTTATTTGTTGTAGTTTTGAGTATGTCTTGTTCTTGAAAGCTATATCTTTTATAAAAGTTAACTTCAGTTCTGACTTTTTTGGATGTGAGGGGTGGGTCGAATGAAAATAGTAGTATCCTTTATTGTCTTTCATGTTTGGGGTAACAGGAAGGTTAAAATGTATGTTTGTTTGGTTTGACAAAGAGTGAGAAAAATTTTAGCCAGAATTTCATGATCTAGATTTCACTACCTCGTGGTTCTTCACAGATTTGTCCAACTTCTTGGTATTACAGATTGGTTAGAACACTTAACTGCTTCAGAATGTTGTAGTGTCCTTGTCAGTTTAACCATTTGTATAAATTATAAGTGATTCTGGGCTGAATCTATCTGGTGTGTTGTTTGCTTTATACAGTATTTTAAATAATAATGAGTTGATTGCCAATATTTGAAAATCAGGTAGCTTTTTTTTTTTTTTTTTTAAACAAAAATTTCTGTCTCCAACTTCACAAAGCTAGGATGCCAACACAGGACTAGCATTCCCACATAGTTGCAGTCATCTAATGAGTCTTCCCTCAGTTGCCTAAAATAAAAGCATGACGTCTTGCTTAGAGTCTCCGTATAGCCCCCCTCTTCGTTTGAACTTGAATTTTTGATTCCAAAAGAGATTTGAAGGGTTTTCAATCAGACATTTTCTCTATGTGCTAGGGTGAGGGGTATGTGTTTTGGGGCTGCAGGAGACCTGTATAAAGATGAATAAAAAGTTCCCCAATATTTGTGGAGCTTAGAATCAGGGGAGACCAGTACCTAAAAACTCAATTGGATGGGTTAAGTAAGTACTTTAACAGAGGTATATTAAACTAATACATTTGTATTAAATGTAACATGGTGGGACTAAAGATGAATGAGCAGCTTTGCCTATGAGGGCAGTCTAAGACAGCCATTGAAAAGAGGGGGTATTTTTCTGTTTTTCTGATAGACCTTGAAACAAATGTACATTCATCGGGCTGACCAGGAGGAGCTGGCACTCTGGGCAAAGTTATGCGGTGGGTGTATGAAGACAGATCAGATGTCACATGGTAGACTTGGTAGAAAATAGTGTTATCCCGTTTAGCTAAAGCATGGAGGTAGAATAGCTAAAAACCAAAACGGAGCTAGGTGTGTGTTACATGTGAAAAGTTGGTAAGTCAGTAGTCACTGGGGTTGAATTTAGGAGAGCTAAGTGGAAAAAATGTTCACAGGGCACTTTAATATACGGGTCTAGAGCAGTTAGAACTAAAGACTGATTTTGGAGTCCTCAGGTTGTAGTTTGCTAAGATGCAGTAGGAGGAATGAATGAGACTTTCTAAGACCAGGATAGAAAGAACTTTGGCTAAAGCAAGAGTCAAGAGAAAGCTAGAAGTAGAACCAAAGGAATGAAAGTTAAGGGAAGCGAGTCGTGAAAGAGGAGACTAGTTGACATTGTTGGATGCTAGAGAGTCAAGGAGGATGAGGAATAACAAACAGTAAGAATGATGTTTACAATTCAGAAGTATTTATCTTGTCCTTAGACCTGTTATTTAGACACACAGAGAATTGAATCAAATGGAACATATTAGAAAATGTTTTGCTTCATTGTTCTGTTTTCTCATTTATCTACCTGACTGACTTCCTCTTGAGGTCTAAGTTTACTTTTCCTCATTAAAAAAAAAAAGTATACTCCATTTTTAAGTGGTAACAGTGGGGTTATATGCAATGATGAGCAGTGAACGGGCAGTAAGTATAGGGAGTAGACTAAAGAAAAAGCTGAGATATTAATGCAGGGGGAAGTACATTGAGGAGAGTTGGATTGATTTCATTTTGATAACTGTTACTTTCAGTTGGACTAGATTGGAGTCCTTAATGTATTAAAGCCTTTAAGTCAGATTCAAGTTTGAAAGTGAAATTAGCTGGGCTTTTTGTTTTTCTTTCTTTTTTTTTTTTTTAAGTATTGGATTTATTGAATTTGGTCAAGGCCACAGTCTCAGAAACAAATTGCTATAGGAAAACCATTTTCAAATTGTATCCTAAGTTCCTTTGTAGCTGTTGAGAAGGTGTAGGGCTTAGGGGTTAGTTTGTGGAATTCTCCCTTCCCTCTACCACGTTTATCCTTAAAAGCCCAGAAAACTATTAGAGTTTCAGCATCTAGCAGTACCAGCAGTTGGCAATGAAGAGCAATGGTTTTAGAAGTCAGATGACCTGCTTTTTACTTAGTACAGACTTAATTAACAGCAAATTAGCCAAATCACCCTATCTTTCTGGGTATTGGTTTCCTTACCTGGCTACTAAATTCCTGTTTCCTAGTTTATTGAACTGGAAGGGGGAGGGGGGTGTACTTTTATTGCTGTTATCTCCCGACACAGCATTTTGTTCTTTCTTGCTTGTATTTTAGTTTCTAAAGATGTTCATTATCCTGGCACTACCCACAGGCTTCCCCTTGCACACCCATAGACACCCTATAGTCCACCCAATGGTAGATTGAACCAGAAGCCCCTCTCTTTGCTTTCTCCTTTCAGTGCATGGAACCAGGCTTTGGCGTTGTGACTTCCTGCATTTAGAAGAGTATTTGTTTAATCTTTAGCACTGCATAACACTAAATAATGTGAACGTGTCCTCAGTGCCAAGTGCTATTCTAACAGCTTTATGTTTCTTAACTCATCCAAGCCTCACAATAACTCCATTTTTCAGGTGGGGAAACTGAGGCTCAGAGAGGTTAAATAACTTGCACAAGTTACTAGAAATTTGCCAGAGCCAGGATTCAAACCAAAGCAATCTGGCTTCCACTCGAGTCTGTGTTCTTAATCACAATACCATTTTGTGTTTAAAGTATACATATGTTGTCCCAATTTAATTTTCAGGGCCCAGAATGTGTTCAGTATCTTCAACAAGAATACCTGCCTTCCTTGCAAGTAGCTCCAGAGATAATTCAGGTAAGATCTGTCCTAGTGGATTTTCCTCTTAATTAAAGAAATAGAGCTATGTAATTCAATCTAAATTTTGATTCAAGGAAGCCAAACTACATTCTCCTTGATTTACTATGTACAGGATAGCAAAAGTCCAAATGTCAGGGGGCCTATGAAATTGAATAAGAAAAAACACTACCTTTAACAGAAATTTAATTTCCTACCATTGTGTAGGGGACAAATCACAGTAGTATTTGCATTGCCTGTGATGTTGTCACCCATAGAAATCACAGATATTTTTATATCGCATTAGTTGTTCCACAGATCTGGAAATATTATTTATATTCATCTTTTTGAAATCGAGTTATTAGAACATGCCACTAGACCTTGTTATCTAAATCAGTAAGTCTTATTCTTCTACCACATGTCACAAATACATTTGATAACCATAATTCATTGTAATTAGCTTCCTTTGTAACCCCATGAGTCACAAGTGTTTTTTAAAACATTCTGCAAGAAGTCCAGCAGGCTCCCCCAGACTGCCAGAGGGGGCTGTGGCACACGAACCTCAACTCTGAAAGTTTGTGCCAGGTAGTTCATTTTACACAGGCCAAGCTCACCAGTGCTTAATTTGTGAATCTGAAACCGTATTTTAAGTGCCTGGAAAGCTATCTTACATTTTTGCACACTTTCAGAGTGATTTTTATGATGGCATTTGATTGTTTTTCTGGATGCATAGTTATCCAGACCTGTTGTCCAACAGCACATAATTCTAATGAGGTAGAAACAGATCTCACATAAGAGTAATCATAAAACTCATTTTTAGTAAATTTATGATCTCTTATGACATATCTTTAACTTGATATTAATTTTCTCAGTTATCATTTGTTACACAAATAAATTAGTATTTTATGAAAACAATACATTATTAATTACTCATATGATCTTAGTGCACCTCAAAAATAGAAATATACCATTCAACTTTGAATAATATCAGTAGTTTCCCAGATTGCTAAATGAAGCAAAATTATTTTTTTCTTTTTTTCTTTTCATTGAAGTTTAGTTGACTACAGTGTTGTGTTAGTTTCAGATGTACAGCAAAGTGAATCAGTTATACATATACGTATATCCACTCTGTTTTAGATTCTTTTCCCATATAGGCTATTATAAAGTATTGAGTAGAGTTCCCTGTGCTATACAGTAGGTTCTTATGAGTTATCTATTTTATATATAGTAGTGTGTATATGTCAGCCCAATCTCCTGATTTATTCCTCCCACACACATACACATTTCCCGTTTGGTAACCATAAGTTTGTTTTTGGAGTCTATTTCTGTTTTGTAAATAAGTTCATTTGTACCCTCTTTTTAGACTCCACATATAAGCAATATATGATATTTGTCTTTCTGCGTATTATATTTCTATCTAATAATTTGCTTATAAAAGATAATGATTCCCAGTTTTCCCTTTTTCATATGCCTCTGACAGCACTTTTTGCACAGTCCTATTTTTTTTTTTTTTTTTTTTTGGCTGTGCCAGGTCTTAGTTGTGGCATGCAGGATCTTTTAGCTGCCACCTGTGGGATCTTTGGTTGTGGCATGCAAACTCTTAGTTGCAGCATGTGGAATCTAGTTCCCTGACCAGGGATCGAACCCAGGCCCCCTGCATTGGGAGGAGGGAGTCTTGGCCACTGGACCACCAGGGAAGTCCCTGCACAGTTCTATTGAAGAGAATTTTCTCTTTTTCTCTCAGTCTGGCTCCGCTCAGTTACCCTCTTACTAGATGAAAACAGCCATAGCCATGTGGTTTTTGTTCCACCCACCCTTCTGAGGCAAGAGTCAATCTTGCCCAGGAGGCCATGTTCTCAAAAGTGAAAGCAGCCTGTCTGAAAAGTATTACATTTGAAAATGTCATATAACCTTTTTGGTGAGGAACTGTTCAGGTTAATTAATTGATAAATTATAATATGAATCCTAGAGATTTGAAGCAGCCTAAATGCTCATTGATGGGTGAATGGATGAGTAAAATGTGGTATATACATACAAATGGAATATGATTCGGTCTTTAAAAAAAAAAAAAAAGAAATTCTGTCATATGCTACAACATGGATGAACCTCGAGGATGTTATGCTAAATGAAATAAGCCAGTCACAAAAAGAGATGCTGCATGATTCCACTTACTATGAAGTATCTAAAGTGGTCACACTCTTAGAAACAGAAAGCAGAATGGTGGTGGCCAGGGGATGGCGGCTGGAAAAAGGGGAAAAGGGGGAGTTGTTCAATGGGTATAGAGTTTCAGTTTTGCAAGACGAAAAATTTCTAGAGATCTGTTGCATGACAGTTGCCTATAGTTAACTGCTGGTACTATACACATAAAAATGGTTAAGATGGTCGATTTTATTTTTTTAATCATAATTTAAAAAGAATACTGTGGTTTTGAATTATGATGAATTTAATACAAATAGACTCATTCTTTTCTCTCTCCTCCCCTCCTGGCCCCCCAGGAGTTTTGCCAAGCGCTTCAGCAGCCTGATGCTAAAGTTTTTAAAAACTACTTAAAGGTAAGTATTTGGAAAAAACTTATATATCTTCATACAATTAGGTGATGTTTCAGAGCCAAGAGACAATACGTATTACAGGATACTGTGTCATACTGTAGTTTGACCAACAGTTACATATTTGGGGATCTCTGCTCTAAAACCTGCTTCTAAGAATCCATGGTTAATAGATGTTACACTTCAGAGTTTTCTGTGAAGCCCCTTTCAACTGAGCTCCTGCAAAAGATTATAGAAACTTAGATAAGCAAACTGAATGTGTATGTGCCTGAGCATGTTGTTATGAAAATGTAAGTTTCATTTAAGTTTTGTGATGTAATTAAATAGGAACTAGAGGACTGGGAGAACAAGTAATGTTTGTGAACAGCTGCCCATATTGAGTTGAAAGGAAGGAGCTAAAAATAAAGAAACAAGTATGAATTACTTGGTTGTATCCTATCTTGAAACTTTTAAATTGCAAAATGGACAAAAAGTAGAATCCTCAGATTTGGCCATTAAGGCTCTTTTTACATTCATAAAATCACCAAATTAAAACAAACCAACCAGTCAACCTCCAAGTTGGCAAGAAGTACCAAATATGTATTTGGTATTCATTTTTACAGTTAAATCCATGAAGCAGATATCTTGCTTTCACCTGGGTAGTCAGTCATTCAATACTCCATGACTGCTTTTTATGTAACACATACTATGCTAACTGCTGCAAATACCAATATGAGTGACTTTCCTTGCCCTCAAGGAGCTCATGGTCTGGAAATAAGGTTACAGTGTGACAGGATGAGGAACTATTCTTTATTTTTATTTATTATCTTCATTCAGCAAATTTGAGGGTAAAGCACTGTGTTAAATTTCTTAGGGGCAGGTAACTTAATGGCTCCCTCGTTCTTTTGCCCACGGCATTCAAGTCAAGGGGCTTTGCTGATAAATAAATGTGCTATCCTTTGACTTTGGTGCTATCATCTTCCCTTGCAAGTTTTTCCCCTAGTAGTAGTCTGTCAGCTTAAACTGACAAAAGAGTTTGTGAGAAGATAGAATTACTGTCTGTCATTGAGAACCCTCCCCTCTCCCATTTCCCCAAAAAAGCAAAGTGTCTGTGGAGGTAACCTCTGTTAAGTAAAAGATCAATCACACTGGATTAAAGAACTAAAAACATTGTAACTCTCTGTTAGAGGTATCTGTTATAGCAGATGTGGGTACATTGTAGCAGGCTTGTGCCCCAAACATATTCATCCAAACAGCATTTATAAAGTCTTCCTCCCCAGCCCAGCTTCTCTTCAGTGATAGCGTTATTCTTCTAGTTGGAAAAAATGAAGTTCCTTCTTTTGTGCCTACTCTGTTCCTATCTGATTGATCCTTAGATCTTGCTGATTGTTTCCTCCTTGCTAACTTCCTTTCTGTCTCTACTGCTGCCACTCTGGTGTAGGCTTATCTCACTCTGATTTCCCTTCCATTGTTCTGTCCAAGCTGATCTGTTTGAAAACATTGAACAGTCCTCTGAAATTCCTTCCTCCTCCTCATAATCTTCATAACTTATTGACTAAAAAGTACATATTTCTTAGTTTGGCATTTAGGTGTTTTTTTTTTTTCAGACTCTGATCTCAGACTACCTTTCCGGTTTCTCTTGCAGGAACAGTCTTTACTATTCTTGCTGTTCTTCAAGATTTCTTCCTTATTAGCATGCTTCTCCTTTATGAATTCTACCCATTCTTCTAGGCTTATCTCAAGCATGGCCTCTTTGTAGGGCTATTTTTTGCTCATATATTGATGATTCTTTTCTCTCCACTTAGTCAATAGACAGTTAATTGTTAAGTGAATGTCTGATCTACTAGGTGTTAGGGATATAATGACGAATGTGCTCCTTATCCATAATGAGCTTACTGCCTACCATATGTTCTTTCGAATACTCACTTAACATGTACCCAACTATGGAAGGTAGTAATACTGAGCCAGTGCCTAGCACAACCTCTAGCCTACTCGTTCATAGTCTCAAGTGTTGAATTGGAAGTATTTTTTCATAATCAGATAAATAAATAGTTAAGAGATAACAACTGCTGTCTTTAGCTTTGACCTGTTTGTTTCTTCCTCAAAATTTAATTTCCTAGCATTAACTTTGACAGTAGTGCCAATCAGCAAAAATGTGTCAAGAGCATCTTTTCCTCTGACTGCTTGAATCTCACAGCATTGGAGGTGATACCATATTTTCACTAGTAAATGGCAACATAAGTTATCTCTAGACCTTATCAAGTTGTCCAGAAGAGAAAGTTCTTGACTTGTATTATGTGTGGATTTATGGAGTATGTTAAATGTTTTACATAATCTATTGTATTTTACAAAAGAGTGACTAGCACCCAGTAACCTGGAGCCATTCTTCAGGTAAAGGTGATAATCTTCTGACATCAGTACTAATTGTACCAATACTTTATTTACAGGTGTTTTTCCAGAGAGCAAAGCCCTAAGGACTGGATCTCCCTGTGCCTACTCCATGATCAGGAATTCCAGTTAATAATTTATAAAGAAACAGTTGCTGTGTGCCATTCACACTGGTCTTTTTAACACTGCTTTGAGCTTATTGCAGTATATGCTTTGGGATTTTTCTGTAAAATGGGTGTAATTTTCCCTAAATTACTGGTATGTGACAACTAGAGAAGTTGCTTGCATGCCAATTCAAATCGTTCTATATAAAAATGCTGTTATAAGATACAGCAGTTATCCTAGTACCTTTTTTTTTAACTTGAAAATTTAAGTCCTTTATAAAGACCATAGCAGGAAAACTGTACTTTTTTTTTAATTGCTGAATATAAAATGTTTGAAAATTTTAATTTTCTTTTATGTGTGCAGACTCATCAAGTATGGGGGAAATACAACAAATCAAAACTAATTTTTTGTAGATAGCCATTACATTTCTTTAAACTGTTTCAATGCCAATGTGTATTCTACAAAAGAGAATGGTTTCATAAATTAACTGATTGAAGAGTAGGTGCTGGTGTTATACATTTTTTATAAAAAAAAAAAAGGAAATAAATTTTACGTAGTGAAATCTACTGAGTCCTTTTTGGAATTATTATAAATACTGAGTCTTATTTTTTCATCTCTCCCTGATTTCCCATTTAAAGGATTGCACATATAAGTGTATGGATGATTTATTTAATTATGCTCCTAAAAGATTACATGTGACTTAGTTCTATTAAATAATTCAGAATCCTTTTTTTTTTTTTTTTAACATTTTTATTAGTACGCGGGCCTCTCACTGTTGTGGCCTCTCCCGTTGCGGAGCACAGGCTCCGGACGTGCAGGCTTAGTGGCCATGGCTCATGGGTCCAGTCACTCTGCAGCATGTGGGATCTTCCCAGACCGGGGCACGAACCCGCGTCCCCTGCATCGGCAGGCGGACTCTCAACCACTGCGCCACCAGGGAAGCCCCAGAATCCTTTTTTTAAATGAACTAGAAAAAGCCTGTGTATGTTGATAGAATTAAAAGTCTAATATTGGGCTTCCCTGGTGGCGCAGTGCTTGAGAGTCCGCCTGCCGATGCAGGAGACGCGGGTTCGTGCCCCGTTTCGGGAAGATCCCACATGCCGCGGAGCGGCTGGGCCCGTGAGCCATGGCCACTGAGCCTGCGCGTCCGGAGCCTGTGCTCCGCAAATGGGAGAGGCCACAACAGTGAGAGGCCCGCATAACGCAAGAAAAAAAAAAAAAAAAAAAAGTCTAATATTTTCCATCTTACTAGATTTACTTAGGGCACAATATACCTATGTGTTTATGATGCTTTTAAGTAGTAGCTGCCCGTTTAGTTCCCCTGCCTTCCCCCATTTTTATTCATGACTATGCAAGAAACCAAGAAGACAAATAATATCGTAGTAGTATTGGAAAATTAAGAAACGATGGACAAAACTGAGCAGCACACTTACTGTAGTCATCATTTAAATTTAAATTTTAAAAGCCCAAGTAAGGTTTTAGGGTGGTTGAGGGTTTTTTTTAACCTTTGGCCCATGTGGTCCCTAGAGGTTTCATGGATGGGCTTCAGTGGTCTTCTAAATTCCCTAAAATTGTATTCAAAATTTTGCACATAAATCTTCTCCTGGTGTTAATTCCAGAAGAGATTATAAATATGTTCCTTACATCATAGAATAAACATACTAAACTAAGTTGACAGTTAATTGTAAAAATAGATCAGTGGAGTGTATATTATACAGTCAGCCCTCTGTAGGTGCAGGTTCCACATCCATAGTTTCAACCAACCTTAGATCAAAAATATTTGGGAAAAAAAAATTCCAGAAAGCTCCAAAAAGCAAAACTTGAATTTGTTGCACTTGGGAACCATTTACATAGCATTTACGTTGTGTTAGGTATTATAAGTATTCTAGAAATAATTTAAAGTATATGGGCGGATATGCGTGGATTACATGCAAATACTATGCTATTTTATATAAGAAACAAGCATCCAAGGATTTTGGTATCTGTGGAGGTCCTGGAACCAGTTCCCTGTGGATACTGAGGGATGACTGTGCTTAAATAAAAATGCTTTTAAAAGTAGATGAGTGAGAGCTAATTGTTCCTTTTACAGTGGGAGACATCATTGCATCTATTGCAGTGATCTTTGAACTAACTGTCCAAAGTATACTGACTTGCATAGCACAGTAGTTAAGAGCTTAGATAGACATGCTCGGGATCCAGATTAAGTAGGTTCAAATAGCAGTGCTGCCGGTAATTGGTTTCAGAACCTTGAGCAGGTTAAATAACTTCTCCCTGCCCCAGCTTCCCCATCTGTAAAGTGGGGGAAATAATGATAACTACCTCATAACTAAGAATTCAGTAAGTTAAACGTGAAAAGAGCTTACTACAGCATCTGCAAATGAAGGCTTGATAATAGCTATTGTTATTGTACTGTTTATTCCGTATATGTAAAGGCAACACCTCCTTTTCCCCTGGCTCTTTACAGCCCTTGAGGAGATTAACAAATTTTCAGAGCTAAGAGAAATCAAAACGTGGGAATTAAGAGGCTGTAACAAATTAAAACTTCATGTTATCTAATCATGTGTAATAATTTCCACCTTCCTTCCCTGAAGTTGCCTAGAGTACTTCACTTAGGGAGTACCATAGCAATTAGGAAACTCTTCCACCATGAATTACCTTTTCTGTATTGTTCTTAGTCTCCAAAAGCAAACACCCAAATAATTGTCTCAAGGGTGAATCTCATCTGTTAACAGCCTCATTGAGGCAGTAAGACTGAGGGATTTGTATGACTGAACTATGGAACTACAAGTTTCATGAGGCCTGGTATAGTTCTGTGCCTAAGTTTATTTAACTCTTAAATACTAATATTAATTGGTTCACAAACGGCTTGATCTTTAAGAAAATGTATTTCAATGTTCCTCACTCATGTGGTAAACATGTGAATCAAGGCCTTCAATTAATCACATTTTCTCCCATTCACCTTTGAGATGTGAGTTATAAGGAACTTGGACAGGTTCTCTTCTTGGCATTAGATAGGGGACAACTAAAATTGGTGGGAATGTAAGCAGTGAATAGATTGTTGTTACAGTAGAATGATTCCATCACTTAAACATTGTTTAAAGGTTTAATAAAGTAAATTCCTTTGTAACAAGCATTACAGTCTTATCTCCATTGTATATATGATATGTGATTAAACAAGCTTACAGAGGTTTTTTAAAAAATGACTTAAAGTCAGTATTTGGCAGGGAGAGCTGGGACTGCAACCCTAGGTCTATTCCATTCAAAAGCCTCTGCTCTTAACCACTCTGCCATAGCTTCCTATTTCACTGACGGCTCCTATAGTTCTCATCTGGGAAGAACTCCCTCCTTCCGCCTCCCTCCCTCAGAAATTTAGCCCTTATCTGCAGAGGTCTCTTCGGCCTCTCTGCCTCTCGTTACGCTGAGAAAGGCTGCAGTTCTGTCAGTGGGCAACAAGGATCACTCGGGAATAGCTGCTTGAGATCCTAGCGGCACGAATACTGCAGGGGACCTGATTTTAGTCCCTAGATTCTCCAGTATTGCCATTTTCCAAAATACCGTCTAAAAAGAGGGACTTAAATGAGCTTATTTACATTAAGAACCTCACTTCCGAATTACTCGCAGCCGATAATCTGGCTCGCCTGCAGCCAATGTGGTCTTTAAGATACGTACGAATCTATCCCTGCAGAGTATGATCCTCCAGCGATGTCCCCTCATGTGTCCAAGCATTCTGCACACCCGTGATTATCTGCATGTTTGTAATCACCCGTCCACTGTCTGTCCCACTATCACCTCACTCCGCCTTTGGCTGTCGGGGACGGGGCGGGATTCGCAGTTGGAATCTGAATCCTTGCGCTCAGTGCGCAGGGCTCTCCGGCTTCACCCTCAGAGTAAGAGGGGACAGGCAGAGGGTGTGGACGAGGTCCAGCCGCCCCACAGCCTCTCGGCCCCTCGCTACAACAGGCCTCGGAGAGCCGGGCGAGGTGCGCCGGAAGTGCGCACGCGCATCCGCACCCTCACGCCGGCCGTCGGTCACGTGACCCCCGGCCAGTGCTCGCGAAGCCGGAAGTGGCTTGAGGCACAAGGAGGCCGCGGGAGCCCGCTGGTGGTGGCGCGGCGGACACCGGGCGAGGTAAGCGGGGCGGGCGGGCGGGCGGGCGGGGGCGGAGAGGCCGAAGGCGCGTGGGGCACGGGCTGCAGAGCCGGGCACGGCCCTCACGAAGCGCTCCCGCCCCCAGTGGGAAACTGGGATGCTGAGTCAGGGCGGGGGCGGGGCGGACAACCGGAGGAGCACAGTGGGACCCCAGGCCGAGCCCTTCCCGACTCTGGTTGGGCTGACACCGCCTCCCGGGTGTCCGGGGCGTGCGAAGCCGGCCGGAATGGTCGCGCGGGCCCGTCCCCTGCGCCTGGACTCCTCGTCCTACGGCCGGCTGTCTGACCCGGACTCTCCCTGGTCTGGTGGCGCTGGGCAACCGAGAAAGAGGATGTGTCTGTTACCGGGGTTGGGCCCTGGCCGCCGGGACAGGCGGATGCCCTTTCCCTTGGAGTCAGGCTGGCCGCTTTCTACCCCTCTTTCCGAGCGTGGACGCTATTGGCAGTGTTTAAATCGTTTGATTTTTTTTCAGACGATTAAAAAGAGACGTGTTTTAGTGAAGCGGGGGTTGACTCGCCGGAAGCCAGAAGCCAAAGACGTTTTTAATGTACACACGTATAATGCAAATGCCCAAACCTTTCCTTTGGGACGTGGCTTATGAGTGTAATTTCCAATCCGTTTCCCAGGCATTTTTAGTAGGTGGCCTCAGAACAGGTTCTACCCAGTAATTGTCAAATGCATAACCAAAGACCGACTTTTTTCCCTGAAGAACGCTGAATATAATATCTGTTTAATAATGATTCACTTAGTGGTAGGGTTTGGAAATCCTGGAACTTTGTCCATATGCAGCGTCACCAAGCCTGTTTTCATCTATGGACAGATGGTAACTTTCATTTTGGACAGCATAAGGAAGTATACTTAAGGCAGGATTACCAGTCTCATACTTGTTGAGTGCCTGCCTATTGTGTCCAAATTTTGGAACGATTTATATAGCAAGTACCTTCTGGGTGTGCTGAGTCATGTTTTAGTATGCGGTTATTGTGGGGTTATTGGAAGATAATTTCAAAAAACATTTCCCAGATCATTGTGACACCATAGTTTAATTTCTGCATATAGAGAGCAGCTATCTTAGCTGATAAATGTGTTTTAAATTACCCACTAGGTATAGATACTTAGTGATATTATTTGCCAATTATACTTATCTCAAGCAACAGCAAAGCTTTTCATATTGAGAAGTATTTGAAAATATTATTGAAAAGATATTTGAGAAGTTTATTATTATCTCAGTAGCTGACAAATGTGTATTTCATATTTTGAAAAAGGAATTGTATTTTTATTGCTTATTTCCAATAAGTTGCTGTATGTAAAATTCCCTTATCTGAATTAGATGGGTGGTAAAATTATATATATCTCTCTGAGTATATCAAAGATTGGTGAAATTTGGACCCCTGGCCATTCTTTGTGTACTTAAC